CACGCCTACTGGCTCATTGATCGTCACTTAAGGTCGAGCCGGGGTTGCGAACCAGTCGGCTCGGTTGCGTCACTGAGCACCCACGATCTGCCAACCCGAAATCGTAACGAAACATTAAATTTAATTTTATTTAAAAACTTAGAAATCTTATAAACAACTTGTTATTTATGGTCATGCAAAACTAAATGTGTATACAACATTGCAGCTCAATCAAAGTCAAAGTCAAATGCTTTGATTTCAATTATACCATAATTTGGTACTTTTGAAACGTCAATAAATACAAAATAAATAATAGTCTGTCAGTCAGTTCGTCAGTGAAGCTAGGTGCTCATTCCAAAATGTAGATTCGAATGGAGAAGAACGAGCAAGAAACTCAATTCGTTACTCTTTTTAAGAAAGTATGTAGATGTGTTCGTTATTAGTTGAAGATACAGCTTCAAAATTTAGTTGCAAGATTCCACTTCATACACTCACACCTACAATAAGTACACTGATTGCAAGTTAAATGACAGCTTTTAAAAATATTGCCTATTATTCCCAGAATATAAACAGATACCTACGGACGTAGAATGTCATAAAACAGCGAAAAACCCAATCCTTAATTTCCCGAAAGTACAAATCACCATTTACAGACGAAATTAAACCGAATAATCCAGTCAGTCATTAAATCCGATTTTTGACGTCATAGATAGTTTTGTAATTAATTTATATTGATACGAATTTAAATTAAATACATATATACAACTTAAAATATAAATCACTAAAAACTAAAATATTTACAGCTAAAAATAAATGTTACCTGCCTCAAAAAAATCCTAATCGCTATCGTATTATTATTATTTATTGATTGGTTATTATTATTAATTAATATAAGTCGTTAAAAACTAGGCAATGATAATCTAAATGTCGCGGAGAACCTAACGGGTAACCGGGGCTCCGGCTCGACGTGCAGGAGAAGGAACGGGGTGGTTTTTAGTCAGTAAGAGTCTGACACTCCCTCCCGCCTCACCCAGGCGGGAGTAGTCATTCGATGACTTTCCCCCCTTAAAAAAAAAATGATAATCTAAATACACACTTACTATGCTTTGTGCGCAATATTGTAAAACTTTATAAAAAAAGCCAGGGATAAAATATGCATGTTCAAACGACAACCTACTACCAACCGTTCTCCATCAATAGATTTTCAACCGTATGGTTTTATAATAAAGTTGAAGGTAGAGTATGGGAAACTATCTATAAAAACTATCTATAATAATATTTTAATTTTATAGATAGTTCTGACTAAACTAAATATACTCTGACTGCCTCGTTGGCCGAGTGGTCGCAAGTGCGACTGCCGGGCAAGGGGTCTCGGGTTCGATTCCCTGGTCGAGCAAAGTTCTACTGGGTTTTTTTTAAATCTCAGTAGCAGCACGGAGTCTGGAATTGTGCCCGGTATATGGCAATAGGCTCACCCCCTATTACATGGGACTCGTAACATAAATAGTGAAAAGTGGGTGTTACTTTGTACAGTGGCATTAAGTACTGTAATGTGCACCTCTGCCTATCCCTTCGGGGATAAAAGTCGTGATGTTATGTATGTTGTCATGCAGCAAAATAGTTTGGCTTTAGTTAATTTTCTTATACGGTGAAGTTTTTAAACAAAGGTCTTCCGTGGAACAAACTAATTTAGTAAAACAACAGATATATTTTTATTTTTATTTACAATGGACTATATAAATGGAGGAATATCCTGTGAATGCGAAATTAAAATCCGTATTTCTATTTATTTATATATTCTTTTATACTTCTGTTGAGCGTTCCTTCAACTGCTCAACTGAAGCAAACCTCTTTTGTTTTTGTTCAGTTTCCCATTTATTAGTCCCTTGATGGCACTGGGTTTCCTAGAAAAGGATTCAACAGGAATATTAAAAATTATTACATCAATATATGGATTCAACAGATATTTTCTATAGAGTTGTATAGACTTGTACGTATATCAGTACGTTTTATATTACAACGATGTAGAACGATCTGGTAATGTTCTTAAGACTTGCTACTTGAAATAAAGACGTTAAAATTGTCTTAAAGCTGGCTTCCTATTAAGATCTTGTCAGATTTATTTTCCCATTTTTATAATAGAAGCCTGAGACGGTGTCGCTTGTGTCCTAGGTACTTTGTGGCTGCGTTCTTCAACGTTGCAATGAAAAGAGAAGCGCTTAAGAATTCCTTTGCTGATTATAGTGCAGTTGACAGGGTATGAAAGATAAAAGTGTGTTTAGTCCGTCAGTTAGATAATGAAAACATATTAGACACGTATTTTTTAATTTTATCATGTAAGAAAACATTACTTAGATTAGACGAAACGAATTTATCTTTAGGAGTGAGAACTAGTGACGTCACCGCCTCTAAAAAGTAGTTAATGTTATAAATTTCACATGTACATGACAGACCCGGAATAATAATTTGTGGATCATATAGAGAGTGGCTCCGAATCGGAATCGATCCTGTAACACGTTACAGCCAACGCAACACGACACATAACAAATACCTGTAATGATAATATTTTTTTTCGGTTATTTCTATATTTTTCATACTTAAAATACAATAGCTTAAAAAAAGAGTGTTAATAATAAATAATATCCAATATAAAAAAATAAACTCTAAAATACCACACGTCAATGCCACAAGACATCCCTCTTCAAAAACAGAACGAAAAAAAAAACAAAAACATTCAAAATTAGAATTTAATTTGAGTTAAAAAAGAACGCTCATAGACAAGACAACCCATTCTATATTTTTTGCAAATGTTTCCTCAACTGTCAATACAAATAAGATTTCTTTTGCTAAATCACATGTGTATGATTTAACCGTATTTCCCTTTTTGATTGAGTCCCGTCAACCGATCACCATTTTTCTTGATCACCACACCGTTTGACTTGAAGTGGTGATCCCGACTGGGCACAATGGTCGAATGTCGGACAAAAAATGCACGCAGCGCTATTCATCGAGTTTTGAGCAATGAAAACACAATAATGATTCCATGAGAATTTCAAAGAGATGTGTTTCGGAGTGGATGCGGTATTATATGTAGTTCATAGAGAATTAGTAAATTAAAATAAAATTACGTGTTTTAAAGAGATCTCTTTTAGTAAATGTTTTTGTTTTACAAACTAATAATATGATGTAATTTAATTTTCAAATTAAAATTTTGTTTATTTCCGTATCTACTAACATTTAGACAATAACAATTATTCAGTAGATAACTAGTAAAACAGAAACCTAGGTCATTCCTACTTATGGTATGTATGGTATGATACCTACATATATTGTAAACGAAAGTTTCATTCCAACTTTCATTTACAAAGTCTACACTTATAATATTGTCAGTATTTTATTCGAAAACGAATAGAAACACAACTAAAATATTTACCAAAAACGTTAACATTACTCCTACCGACCACTGTTTATACCTAAACACACGGTACACCAAAACAACAACAATAACAATAAAATAATCAATCGCTACACAAATCGTATGCCGTATCCAAAAGTTGAAAATGAATCAGACCTCGGTAATGTTTACACGACGGATGGTGCAAGTACGGGCTCAATGGGAGAATTGGCCTTCTTGAAACACAATAGCCCATACAAGCCCCGTCGAGATACCACTCGTGTCTAAACCGACCAATAACATGTTTTAAATCTTTTTTTTTTATAACGCATTCGCGCGTACTTCGTATTAGGGTTAACTGAAATAAAATTTGAATTGAGAATTTTTTATTTAGTTTTTTTTTTAATAGCATGTGTTTTTTTTAATACTGTATCTGTTTTTTGGTCTGGTTATATTTTTTTTATTAATTACGAAGAAGGACAATTTAGCAATTTTTTTATAGTTTAATAAACAGAAAAACGATAACGCTATTTAATAAAAAACCAAAAAAAAACTCAGAGAATATAATATTTTTGAAATAAGGTCGTACACTCAATTTAGAACAAATATATGAATTCTAGATTATAAAAACAGCTAGATATTTTTTTTTATATTTTTTAAAATATTTTTCTGTCAAACCTTAAAACAACGATTAACGACTGAAAATCTACATTACTTAATCGGACTCCTCACGGTCGCTGCCTTTAGTAAACAAAGCACCACCGAGATACGACAAATGTGCTCCCATTTTACACCGGTCTCGTTCAAAATTCGAATATTAACTTAACTAGTATAATTAACTCATTATTCCAAATTGTGCTGAAATGCTTGAAAAGCATTGTTATAGCTTCCTTGCCGGGTTAAATGCATAACGAACTAAGAAAACAATGGCGTTGTCTTCATAATGCACTTAAGTAGTCCAATATGAAATTTACACCGATATGAAATTTGATTGTGCATTTTTTCAGAGACTAGGTAAAAAGTATGTTTATTTAAGTAATTTATAAGTTGTTTTCTCTACTTTTAAAGGGTATTGGCATAGTACAAATAAATCGATTTTATATTTATATTTTAAGTTGCTATATTTTTGTACTAGATCATAAATAAATTCATATGACGTGTTCCCAAAAGCTTCAAGTGACAATCTCTCAGCGCGATGTAAACTCAACGAATGCAGGTAGTTTAAGTGAAAGCCCGCGAATGTTCAAATTGTATCTGTACACAAAAATTAAAACAAAATCGTGTTACCTCCGGTTGGTTGGATTGATATGACAAAAAATCCAATAATATTTGAAAATTTAATAATGACCGTGAGTGCCCCGGTCATCCAGTCGCAATTTTTTTTTCCGAAAAACACAATTTTTGGCCGCTTTAGCCGAGTGGCGGAATATCATCGCCGCGATCTGTATAATAGGTAGGTAGGGTCATGGGTAGAAGGGGCGGGGCTGGCAAGGAAAGGGGCTTGGTATTGGCGGATAGGTGGAGGGCTGTCCCCTCCGTGGTGCCATGGTGAGGGTAGGAGTTTGATCCTGGCACCATTGAGTGCTCGGCCGGCGCGCTGGCAGCATCTCAGCGTCTCGCGCGGCGGTGTGCAGTGATTTGTTCCAAACATGTTAGAATTCTACACGAACATGAACGGAGGATTGATGCAGGAGGGCATGCAGCCCCCCATCACCTGCGCTGCCAGAACAGGTCAGTTCCATCACCAGGAAAAAACTTTTCTTGTTTGACAATTTTTTCCATAAAGTTTTCGTAACTTTAAAACTTTTTAGTGAGTTCGTTACTACACGGTTTAAATTAAATACTTTGTGAATAAGTTATGTAAGTTTTTATGGCTGTGTAAAAATTGTGTTAAGAATTTATTGTGACCGGAAAAAAATTTTTTGATAGTGCTCTTTTGGACTAAATTAAATTTTGTCAAACTGGAACATGTTTTGTTGAAGTTTCTGCATCAGTTTACGTAACGTAAGAGCTTACATAAGCATTGCTTATAAAGTAGGTCTATTATTTTGCTGAATTAAAAAAAAATGCGAACGGCTTTTTCCTTATTTAGAATATATTGATTAATTAAGATTGGGTTCAAAATAGTGTGTCGATAAAAATTTATTCTAATTTTCCTTGTTTTTAAATAATAATTTTGTTATCAGAATATTATTTTCTGTTTTACATTAAATAAAGGTAAAATTGTTTGAAGTATCGATCTACTCAATACTTGCTTACATATTTTTTGTAAGTAATTATATTAAAGTATTGTTTGAAAAATATTTTGCTGTCTCATTGGCTATATATATTTATTATTAACAAGTGTTATGTAGATTTTTTATTGTGAATTTTTTTTTTATAAAAAGTCATTAATTAGTGTCGCGTTTTAAGTTGTTGTGAATTTCGAACTCTTCACGCTCTCTGGTCTATATATTTTTTATTACCTACCATAATTTGACTTCACGTATTGTTAATCGTCATAGGGGTGAACAGAGGTATACAATATAAAATGTAATACCCAGTTTTTAACTAATGTATCCTGGATTTCATGAGATAGCAAGGCTTATCGTCACGTAATTACTGTGCCCGTCTCGAGGATCGAATTCGAAATCTGTTACTCGGAAGTCGAGCTCTCAACCACCTGACCTAGGTGACAGAATATTATAAATTAAGTCACATTTTTTTCCAAAACAAGTAAACAGACATGCTTCGTCACAAAACCATTACAGAAAGGGCCACTAGCATATTTGTTTAAATGAATGTCGTAAAACAAACACAGACGAAAAAAACACGAAATAAAAAAGTTTGTACCCAATTTGTTTTTGTGTCAACTGAACAAAACAAATAAAACTGAACAAAAGCAATTTTTGTCCAGTGTTTATCTAACAACCGGTGAATATATATGTGACGTCAATTTTAGTATATTTACGAATAAAATTGAGGTGACTGAAAAATAGAGTAAAATGAAAGTTGACCGTAGCGAACGAATGTACGTATAACGTGGAACTGCGGACTGTGCTAAAGAATTTTTAACAATGGTACGAACTGTTTTTGTAAAATACGACATAGCACTCCACTTTTGCGCCTGACTGTACTAATACGTCATCAGCCTATGGCAGTCGACTGCTGCAGTTGCCTACATGAGAAGGGTTTGGTATCAATCTCCAAGGTTAGCAAGCAAGTTGGAGATTGTAGTTAGATATGTTCACCTTTTTCAGAGAGCTATCTGATCTCGCTAAGTGTGTAGTCCCTTTGTCTGTTGTAACGATAGCCGCAAGAAGAGTAAGGATTGTGTACTTGGATGTCACAACATGCCAATGCCTGTACTCGGGAAAATTAAACGCGTCCTCCATTTTGCATATAATAGTGGGTTGAATAGTGGTTTTGTGTGGAATTTCGTGGCCCATAACTATGAACCGCGGATTACGTGGTATGCGCGTACACTCAGTGTTGATAATATGTTTTAATACTAATTCGGTTTCGGTAATAAAATTTCACTTTAATATTTTATTAAATGATATTGTTGTATTTAATTCTCTCTTATAAGAAAAATGGATAAAAGTAGACAAAATCAAGCGCTGACAAAATTGTAAGCGATTTTTATTTAGGTACAATTAAGAGACTAGAAATAGTTTTAAAGTGTTGTAGTCCAACTAGCTTCAAGAAATTTTTATTGGTAGGAAAAATAGCACGATATTAACTACAGGTATTTAAAGGTGTTGGAATAGCGAATCTACACACTAGTTCCTAAAATCGAAATTTGCATGCCACATGGATTCACCGCATGGTTGTCATTGGGAATACGAGATACCGTTGGCTATCTAAATCGATATGACATATATAGATAGCTATATGATTGTCTATGACTCGACTGTGATGTCACGTGTGACACTAGATATGACAGAGGGTAATATTCTCTGCTGAAGAGTTTTCTTTATTCGAACGTCCTCATCTCCGGAACTACTCGCCTGTTTTCAATAATTCTTTTTGTGTTGGATAGCGCATTTATTGAGGGAGGCTATAGGCTTTAAACCATTCACTATGGTCCATAGAAGCTGAGCAGTGGTTGGAACCGAACGAAAGCAGCTAGTTTAGTTATGAGTGGGTTTGACTTAGTCTAACTACTACTACGTATAAAGTTATCATCGGCCTCCGAGGAATATAAAGCAGTATTTTATAAACTTCAGTGACGATCTCCAAACTGATTATCAAACTTGAGAATTATGGCAGAAACTCTATGAAGAAAGGCTTCTATTTAGCAGTAGACGTATACAAGCTGCTGATGATGAAGATGAGTAGGCTGCTAGTTATTTGAACACCAATATTTCAGTAGCAAATATGTTCTACAATATAATAAAAGATATATATTGTTTAGTTTATAAATACAGAAAAATTGTCTGCCTCTTTTGTGTGACGTGGTTGTAAGTAATCAGTTTTAGTTGCAGCTTTCAATTAAAATAATATGAACGGATATATTTATGAAACAATAATTTTGTAGGGTTTGCATAGAAAGTGACCTAATTTTTGTCACTATGAAAGACACCTATATTAACAATTTTGGTTAACAACTATTATTTTTTTATTTTAATGTTCAAATACATCAGTGTTAAAAACATAAATAATTAAGTAATACAAAAATAGCTACTCGATGTTGCCGATAAAGCTGTTAAAAAGGCGTGCAAAACATTTTATAAATTCATATTTTTTAACTTAGAGTATTTTCATGTCATTTTTTGTCGGCGTTCCTCGGCCGTTACGGTTACGTTATTGAACCTTCGACCCAGTAAAGCGTGAAAACGTGATTCCATTTTATGCGCCATTTCTTAACGAGATTATTAAATTTCTCGGTCCAAAAGGAAATCAGGTCATTGAAGAATTGTATGAAGTTCTTTCAGGCATTCAGAATTTTTTATCTGTATTTTAAAACGTCAATATATTTCATGTTGCCTTTTACGTTTTATAATTGCCTCATTTATTAAGTTGCAATTAAGTATTCTGCTTCTAAAGCTAAGCATGAAAGAACTTAGTCGCACATAACATATCTATAATCAAAGGTATATATAAAAATATAAACACACAATACACAATCAGAACACAAATTAAAATCAAAGTCCAATATTTATTAAATCAAATAAATGCAATAATTGCCATCTTATGTCATTTAACCAATTCACAGAGTCCAATTAAATAATCACTCAAAAACCAATCAGAACAATAATCGAATAAAATCACCAGCCAATCACGGAAAGAACCGCAAATTCAATATTTACACAATAATTCACACGAGTAGTGTAAAAAAATATTTCATTGAACATTTACACAATGTTTACTCATTTATGGTGTAAACAATATAGGTGTTAACGGTGTGTAAATAAAACGTGAAATACGAAATAGCTTTTCCCTAAAGGCTACGGAGATTAATCATTGTCAGTAATTTATTTATTGCAGTTGCAATGTAGGTACAGTCGAGAGCGTAAGTTGCACGTTTCATTTTGTCTGTTCGCTGAACTCGATTAACCGCGATATTCGACCGGTAGTCGGAACGTTTAATTCCTGAAAATTATTAATACGTATATTCAAATGGTAAAAATGTGTCTGTACGTACATTAAAGATGATACAGTAAAAAGAACATTTAAAAAAAATCTATTTGCATATAGCAATCCCAATTAATTAAACTTTTTCTTCAGCTAATAATCTTGAGCAAAACATAAGGTGCGCTTCATCTTAGAAATTGGAACGCCAGTTGTCACAACTTAAAAATAAAAACTATTATTCGCGGACAAAATCGCAGGTATTAGCTAGTTAACAATAAAATGCCTCGTAACTAAAGGGTGTAAATTTAATTTGGGAAAAATTTCCATTCAGCGAATGATTAAACATTTAATTAAAAGCAAATACCGACGTGATTGGTTGTGTTTATACGCTTTAAAAATTATGCGTCGATATTGAGTCGCATTTTTTTTAATTTTTACTTGCTTCCAAATATTTTTTCATTCTTTAGAGAATAGACACAGTTGGAGGAGCGGTTGGGCGATCGGTTGCGACACAACGAACTGAGTCATGTCTACCTCTGAATGCCATAAGTCATAATATTATACGTGTCATAAGTTTGATTCGAACAATGAATAACTTGTGTGATAGGTGTGATCCGCAATTTGTTCTAGGTACTTATACCAGAGTCAAAGTCAAAGTCAAAATCATTTATTTCAATTAGGCCAGAATGGCACTTTTGAACGTCTAAAAAATATTAAAAGTGAAGCTATTTGCTCATTCCAAGGTGTAGATTCCTATGGAGAAGAACGAGCAAGAAACTCCATAGGTTACTCTTTTTCAATCAGGTTCAGTCCAGTTACAACTATCTAAATAAAACAATGTACACGAAAAGGATATAAGTACATTTTAATTGAAATCAATTTATACAGTTGAACCACTCCTGTTTATCTCCATAAGAATTTAATAGAAATCCCTAACAGTACATGCAAATTTAACCGTTATTTCTATTTTAGAATAACTTAAAGTGAAATTCCTTGGGTAGAAAGAATGCAATAGGGTTCAAAATAGGTTGTACAAAGAGAACGCATAACATGAAACCATCACATTCTGCACCAAAGAGGTTTCAATCGATACTTTACTTTAAACACAAGAGAACAACTCAAATACTGTCTATATTTGAGTTGCAATAGCAGCTATCAGCAGCAATGCACCTAAA